GCAATGGGTTTGGGGTTTTGGTTGGCTCCCCTTCAACCTGATTTTGAGAGCAGAATCTTTACTGGAACAGAAGGCTAATGGGGGACACTACAGGAAAGAGGGATGCAGGCTAAAGTAAGAACTGAGTGACTAGTCAGGGACTAGTAACAGAAGACTCCAGAACCTTGAGGATGGATAAGCAGGCCTATCCTTGCACAAGCTTTCCTGGTATATGATAGGCTGTCTGTCTGTCTGTCTGTAGAGTTACACGTCTTGCGGGAGGAAGAGAAGACAGAGAATGAGAGCGAAGTGGAGATAAAGGGAGTCAGAGTGAGACTGAGGGAGTCAGAGGCCAGACAGTAACGTCCCGAAGCCTGAGCCAGGCCGACTCTCCGAGGCGCAGAGGCCGGCCAGGCTCCCGGCAGTACGCTCCTTGGTCGAGGATCCCTAGTCTGAGGACGGGGCTCCCCCGCACTGGGCTCGGTTGTGGAGTCCTGGCCCTCAGCACAGTCCTGGCACTGGGGAGCGGCCCCGCACACAGGGTCTCCCTACTGGAGCTCAGGCCCTTGCTGCACCGTGAGTGTCCGCCCGGCCGGCCCCGCTGCCCAGCCGGAGCACTGGGCTGTGCCACCCGGTGCCCCCGGCGCCCAGAGCAGGAGGGGCGAGGGGCGCAGCGCCGAGGTGTGAGCGCGAGCGGGGCGCGGAGGGTAAAGAGGGGCTCTGGCGCCGCACAGGCTCCGTGTGCTCCAGCGAACCAGGGAAATGGGTTTGCAGCTGATCAGATGCGGAGCGAGGAGCGGGTCTCCGACGACGCTGTGTGCGAGTCGGGAGCCCGGGGGCCCGAGGGTCGGTGGGCGCCTGGAGCGGGCCCCGGCGCAGGAGGGGGCGCGCGGCAGCTCTGAGGGTGCCGTCTCCCAAGTCGAGTCCCGGTGGGAGTCTCGAGGCTCTCGCGGGCCGCTGGCCTCGCTTCCCGCCGCTCTAATCTAAACCATGCGGGCTCCCAGCCCCTCTCCGGCCAGCGTGGCCCAAGGGCCGCGGCGAGGGCACCGGGCCGCACAGTGGGATGCGGGCGGGCAGCTCGGGCCTGGGGTCTCGGGTCCTCAGAGCGGGGACCCTCGAGCCCCCCCCGCGGGGGGCGGCGGACCGGACTGATTGACAGCGGCGACGTCAGCGCGGGTGGGGGGTGGGGGTGGCGGCCCCGGAGGGAGGGAGGATGTGGAGGGAGCCGAGGCCCCAAAGTGCAGCCTGGGAGATCAAGGGCCCGCTGCACAGCCGGGATGCGTGCGGCCCCGAGGGCACGGCGGGCGGCGGGACCCTGACTGCGCAGGCCCCGAGGCAGTGCCCCCGCCGACCTGCGCCCCTCGGCCCCCAGCCTGCTGTGGACCCCAGGCCACAGGCGCCTCCGCATGCGGCAACTCAGTTAGGGTGAGTGTGAGGTTGGCCGGGGTTGCGGGGAGCTGGGCCCGTGGAGCTGCATCCACCGGGAGCTCAGGGTCAGGCCTGCCGCTGGTACTGAGGCCGAGCCAGCCTCGGACGAGAGACCACGGCAGCCCAGGCGCCGGAGGGCGACGAGGTGTGCATCCCGGGCTGCCGCCTCGGCATGACTCCCAGCGCTTGGGGTGCAAGCCCTCCTCTCCTCTGAGTAACTGGACGAAGTGGGGTCACCAAAAGAGTGTGAAAACGACGGCGCTTTAGGAACGAGGTTGTGCACGACAGGGAGAGCGGTGGCTTGGGGTCGGGGTTTGCAGGGTAAGAAAGGCCGAAAAGACAGCCCTGTCGACTGTCGGTGTAGAGCATTGGATCACAGGACTTCTGGCGCAAAAACTAGTCAAAATTGAAACAAGGAAAATTAGATCTAAACAATGATGAAGGATTATCATACTATGAACAATTATCAAAGAAATGAGGCAAAACTATGCGATGCTCAGATCTTAAAACGACTAGAGCCGCTTCCAGAATTCAGTGAAAATAGTCATCCCAGTTTTGAATGGATAAAGACAAAATAACTCAGATATAGCAACAAGGTGATAAGGACTGTTATATTGACATTCATAATCAGAGAACAAGTCATAAAGAAAATGTAAGAAAATATAAACAATGAAAAATACTAGTAAGAGTAATACTATAGTAGCACTGTTAGAATACCATGATAGATTGCATTCCATTCCAAACTTAGAAAACAAATATTAACCAACATCTTAAGAACAATAGTAATATAAAGACACAGTAACAAGAATTGTTGGAGTAATATGACAATTTATGATCAAGGTATTAATAGTTCCAGCAACATTATAAATAATGGTAGAGTAATAAGAAGTATTGTACCAACGTGATGAAAAAGAATCAGAGTATCAAGCACCATGGCAATATTACAAATTATGGCAAGGTAACAAGCAATAATGATGTGTTGAAAAATAACCAGAGAATTAAGATCGCTAATATTACAAATAATGACAAAGCCACAAGACACTGTAACAATTTGATGTAGACTACGGGGAGTAGAGTATTATGAACAGTTCTAACAGAACAAATGATAGAAAAAGAACAAGACATAAAGAAATTAAAATTAACATTATCACTAAGAGCAGTAATACAAAATACAGTGAATAGCAACCGTTATTGGAACGGTGGAACTCTGGCAAAGTGGACACAGTTTCAGCAGTGAGCTGTTTGAGGGGGACAGAGTAAACATAAAAACAAGGATAGATGAACAGGGCCTGTTTGAACACTAGAATTAGTTATTACCAAGATACAGACAATAGTATTAATATGCTAGAAGATGCAGGAGCCATGGAACAGGAAAACAACATCATAGGTACAGTGGTAAAGCAACAATGGATACTAGAGCTTTAAACATTCAGTATTATTTTTAAAATAATAATTTGTCATGTAATAGGATATTCTTAACATTATTGAACTGGCCAAAATAATACTGTTATACTAGCGATAATTAAAATAGTAAGAGTATAAAATGGTAACAATTTCCATAGTGCAGCGGAAATTTCACCAGTAATCTAAGGAGTAAGAGAAAAACGCTAGCCTCCTTGGAAATGAGGCAGCCGGGCGCAGAGCAGAGCGCGGCCCCACAGCGCAGGGTTTGGTGTGAAAGACGGTGGCCCGGCGGCGTGTTGGTGCCCAGCGCGCTGGGACTCAGGGACCTCGAGGGCCACGGGGACGCTGCCCAAGGGCAGTCCACAGGGAAGGAAAGGAAATTGGCGGGGAGCTCTGGTCAGCGGGATCTGTGCAACGCTGGTGTGATCTAGTAGCGGAGAGTAAAGGCAGAGGCGAGTCAGGGGAGGGGTAGGTGAGAGCAGCACAAGCCTGGTCTCGGTTTGAGCGTTGGGAACTGCATTAGTGGGCTCAGACCGCGGACATGCTGGACCTGGGATAGTACAGCGAGCTCATGCCGTGAGTTAGACGATGCCACTTTATGGCCGGGGTGAGACAAGTGTCCCACTGAGGACCTAGTGGCCAGGCCCACAGCAGGGATGCCCCCTCCTCCTGGCCTCGCTGTCTGCCCTTAGGACCTGGCCCCATTGCAGATGTGCATCCCGGTGGGGACATAGGTACAGCAGTGTGTGTGTGTGTGTGTGTGTGTGTGTGTGGGCAACAAGATAGCATGTGGTTGCAGGAACCAGCGCCAGGTCGCACAACTACACAATGCAGCCAGGGCTCCCTGCCAGGGGGCTCTGGGATTTCGGAGGCTCCTTCTAGGACCAGGTGTGTGTGTGCGTGGTTTGAGGCCCTGGGCTGGCCATGCCCCTGAATCTTGCTCCTTCTCTGAGTCTTGCTGTGCCAAGACCATGGACTGAAGCTGTCAGCCTTATCTTTATGGGCTTTTCCCAGCCCTGGCTGGCCCCGGCCCCTTTTTATCTCTCCAGTTGCACTTGGCTTGTTTACTTAGCAGGCCCTGAGAGCTAAAGGCTAGGCCCAGGCCTGGGCGGTCAGTGGACAGAGCGGGAGAGGGACTTGAGCATTGGATTTGCAGAGAGAGATCCAGGGGAGAGCAGAAAGAAGGTAGGAGGAGAAAGGTGGACATTTAGACACAAGAGGCACTCAGACATCCCTACCAGGACCAGCTCTGGAGCCTGAAGAAGGGAGAACAGTGAGCGGAAAAAGGGGAAATGGAGGCCTTTGTGCAGGGCTGTCCCCCTGACACAGGGAGGGGGCAGACTGGGATTTCACTCTATATTCCAAGGCCAGTGGTGGGCAGGGAACAAGGCACCTGGACAAGGCAGGGAAGAGACCCAGACACTTGGAGAGGAATGGCGGTGCCCAGGCCTGTGACTGGGCCCACCCAGTCACACTGGTCTTGAGTTGGAAGTGATCTGAATTAATTCAGCTCTTTGGCCCAAATTGGAGATCCTGTTGGAGCTAATGTATGGGTGCCTGAGGACGGGGTGAAGGTATGAGGGATAGTGTAGGGGATCCCCAGTCTCAGTGCCTGTATCCGAGCATCCCTGGGAGAGTGGCTATGGATGAAGAGTAGGCTCTGTTGGGTTTGTGCTAGGGGTGAGGATGTATGCGCCCCAGAGGAGAGTGTCTGTAGGGTGGGGAAGTGCAGGAGTGTGAACCTGTTCCCCAGTGTCTACTAAAGTGCTGAAGAGAGATGCAGGTATGGAGCCCAGCCACGCCCGACTCTCCTCTCCTGCTCGCTGTGGACTGAGTGGCTTCTGGACTTAAGCTATTAGGAAATAGCAGAGAGGCCCAAGCCTTGGGACCCACTGTAGCCCAGTAGGAGGGAGGGACTGGGGGTGCAGCTGGGGCAATGAGGGCGGTCCTTCCCCCAGACCCTCTCATCACAGCCCCACACCAGGGGTCGGCAGACAGAGCCCTAAAGCAGACCCTCTGGGGTCCCAACCAAGAGGTAGGGGGTCGAAGGGCCTGCCCTCCTAGCTTGGGGGTTAGGGTCCACGTGCGCCCCGCCGCTCCCCGCCCGCCCTGCACGAAGCCCACGGCCGGCCTCGTGTGGCTCAATGTGGACTGAGCGAGTGACTCGCCCTGTGCTGTGCCCGCAGGAGATGCTGCAGGACAAGGGCCTGTCGGAGAGCGAGGAGGCCTTCCGGGCCCCGGGCCCAGC